CTAAAGACACAGCATGCACCACAGTGAGGAGTAGCTCCTCTCCATAGGTATAAGATAGCCCTGTAGCATTAGGTGATGTGGAAAGAAACTACACAACTTAAGGGGAGGTGCAGCAAGGCTTGGTGAAAATCTGGGGCTTTTTCATGTGGCTGGGCAGTGCCAACCTGAACTGTATTACACAAAGGTCCTAGAAAGGGAATGCAAGCCCTGTGCTATGTTTTGAATGTGTTCCTCCAAGTTCATGTGTTGGAAACTCAAGCCCCAATGAAATAATGTTAAGAGGTGGGACCTTTGAAGAGGTGATTAGTTTATTACAGCTCTGCCCTTATGAACTTGTTAATGTTATTATTGCGAGACTGCATTAGTTATCCAGGGAGCAGACTTGTTACTGCAAGAAGAGGTATGCAGGAGGGAAGTTTGGCCTTCTTTTGCTTTCTCACACTCTCTTGCCCTTCTGCCCTTTGCTTTTCACTGTAGAGTGACACAGCAAGAAGGCCCTGTCCAAATTCAGCCCATTACCCAGTCTACAGTATTCTGTTACAGCAACAAAACACAGACCAAGACACCGAGCAAGGAGAAAACTGACCTTCACCAGGGCCTGGGGAAAGAATGGTGCAGATTCTTGGATTTGAGAATAAAAGACAAAGATAAAAAGTTTGAGACCTGAGTACCAGAGCCTGTATTCAGTTTCTACCACTTATTCACAGAATCCCTGATGGATCTTTCTAATTCAGGGTTTCCCCAGAATTAAGGATGCCTGAGAGCCACTTCTGGCCCCCCTTTAATACACCAGTTCTGACTTCTCTTCCATAGTCCTGTGGTGAGGCTCAGAAGTTTACAATATAACGAACCCCCAGGTCGTTCTCATGCAGGTGCTTAGAGAAACGCTGACTTACCTGCCCTGAACCTCCCAAGGTCCTCATCTGTACAATACAGTGATAATGCAACAGTGCTCTATACCTGGATTGGATTGAATTATGTCCCTCCAAAAGATACATTCATGTACTAATCCCTGTGGATGTAACCTTGTTTGAAATCAGAGTTATTGCAGACGTAATAAAGTTAATATGAGGTCATACTGGATTCCAACAGGCCTAATCCAATGGTTGGTGTTCTTATAAGGAGAGAAGGAATACAGAGAGAGAGAGCAGCCATATTAAGAAGGAGGTAGAGGTCGGAGTGAAACATGACTACAAGCCAGTGGTCACCGAGAATTGTCTTCAAGGACCGATGCTAAAAGAGGAAAGAAAAGTTCTCCTCAGAAGATGTCAGAGAAAGTATGGTCTTGCTGACACCCTGATTTCAGATTCAATCCTCTAAAACTGAGAGAATAAATTTATGTTGTTTTAAGCTGCCTAGTTTATGGAACTTTGTTCTGTCAGCCCTAGAAATGAAAATGTCTTTCAGGGTTGTTGAAAGAATCACTGGAGTTGTTATAATAGTAAATTGGTACACCATGGTTAATATTTAAAGGGAAGACAGTAGAGGCATTTAATTATTTGTCACATTGTAACCACTTTTACACGGATATTTCTCATGCATCTGAGATAAAGATTAACTTAGGAGTTGTGCGGTCTTTTTTCTGTTGCTGTAACAAAATACCCAAGGCTGGTGATTTTTAAAGAATAGGGTTTTATTTATTCACATTTTCAGAGTCTGGGATGTCTAGCTGCATGGTGTTGGCAGCTATTTGGCATCAGATGAGGTTTCTTGCTGTATCATACATGGTAGAGAGTATCCCATGGTGAGACAGAGCAAGAATGCTAGCTCAGTTCTCTCATTCTTTTCTTATAAAGCCACTAATGGCATCACAGGGGGCCCCACCCTCATGACCTCATCTACCCCTAATTACTTCCCAAAGGTATCACATCTCCAAATATCATTAATGCAGGATTTTTGGAGATTAAGTTTCCAATGCATGAATTCCAGCGGACACACCCAGAACATAGCAGGAATTTTGTAATACATCTTAAGGGTGGCTAGGAGAGAATGACAATCATTACAAAAGAAACGTTGAAACAAGCATGTGAAGATCCAAGTTCCAGTCTCAGCTCTTCCATGAACCTGCTATTGTTCATGTGGTCATGTCAGGAACATTTTTCTCTCTCAGTTTTCTTCTGGAGATGAAAAAATTCCAGAGCTTTTGGAAGATCAGGTGAAGATATGATACATTTTACTAGACTCTAAAATGCTGCACGAGTGTAGGAATTACTGCTATTATCATTGCTGTCATTGTTGTTTTCAGTAGGGTCATATCTGGAAATGAAGGAGTAACTCTTGAAATATTGCTTGATCCAGACTTTGAAGCTCTTGGCTCTTTTGTATGAGGAGAATACAGCACAGACTAAGACACCAAATTCAAAACTGATTATTATGGGGTATTGTGGGTGACAGGAAAGAGAAGAAGAGAAGGATTTTTTTCTTTGGTTACAGAGCACTTGTACTCTTGAGGGGAGGGGTGTTGAAGATAGACTGGTGTCTGTCTCTAAGGTTGCTCTGAGGGCATTGGTGGGTCATAGAACATACTAGAAGCAGTAATGGCAGGGCAGATGTCACACCCCACCTCTGTGAGATGTTAGGAACCATACGCCATATGTAGCACCAAGGGGCAATATCAAGGACTCTGCCTTTGGAGCAGAGTGGCTTAGGCTTGATATGTCACCTACTACAATTATTTAGTAGGTGACCACAGGTCATGTGTCTACATGCTGGCCCAAGAGCACTCAACCAAGCAAAGGGTGCCAGATCAGGACAGAAGACAATGTAGCTGGCCAAAACCATGATGGCAGATAGACTTGTCCAGGGACAGTCATGATTCTGAGGTATGTGTTCTAGGAAAGGTTCAGATTCAGGGCCCATTGTGAAGTGAGGATCAGTAAGAGAGCCAGACAGTGACATGTGTAGTTCAACAATTCTCTTTCTGTTTGCCATGGGCTAAATTGTGCCCTCTTCCCCAATTGATATGTTGAAATATTGATACCAGAGACCTTCATATGTGACTGTATTTGGAGATAGGATCTTTAAAGAAGTGGTTAATGTAAAATGAGGTCATACCAGTGGACCCTAACCCAATCTAACTGGTGTCTTTCTAAGAAGAGGAAACTAGGTCAGAGGGAGAGACACCACACACATGCGCACACAGAGGACATGCTATGGAAAGACACTGATGTGGGCGGCCATCTTTAAGCCAAGGAGGGAGTCCATAGGACCCAAACCTGCAGATGCTTTGATCTCAGACATGCTTTTCTGGTTCGCATGCTAATCAAACTGAAAAGGGACATGTTTTCTTTGATTCTCATCTTAGACTGTTATAAAGGAATGCAATTTGGAGATTTGAGATTGGAAATATGATCCCAGAATGCAGAAGTAAAGAAGCAGGGAAGAGTGGAATGGGAGAAAGAAAAATAACAGAAGGTGCATCCCTAATAGCTCACTGCTGTGCCCAGATAAGGGCCACATTTTAGGGAGTCCTCGAAGGATTCATGGAGAATAAATCTCAGTATGGTCCCATCCAGAGGTAAGAGGCTGGTGGTTAATTGCCAAACCCCATCCTCCTGCAGTTGGGATGTTTCTAGCATGTTATTTTTCCTTCTGGTCCAGACCTTCAATCTCTGGTTTTCTCTGGCTTCTGACGAATTCCAGCAGTAACCAAGCAGGGGGAGGCAATGCCATGCTCAGGACGTTGAAGCTAGTGATGTTCATTGTAGAGCCTTCTGGAGCTCTGCTGAAATCAGCTAGGCTAAAGGCACGGGGTACACAGCATTCTAGGCAGAGGAAACGGCCAGTACAAAGGCCAGGAGGCAGAGAAAGCCTGAGACTTTCAAGTAACACAGGAAGGCAAATGTGCCTGGGTATAATAAGGAAGGAAGACAATAGTAGGAGTTTTGGTCAAGAAAGGCAACAAAGGCTTGTTCGAGAAGACCTGATTAGACCACTGAGAGGACTCTTGGCCTTGACTCTGCAGGAGAAATGGGGCCATTGCAGAATTTGACAGAGTGTAACATGGACTGATTTACGTTCTAAAAGGCTGATTGGCTGCTATGCTAAGAATGGACTCAGGCTGGGGGAATTTGAGAAGTAGGCAGAGCTATTCTGGAGGCTGATTCACTTAATCCTGATGGGAGATGATAATAGCTTACACTGGGGGAGAAGCAGGGGTGGGGCAAGAAGCAGTACACATTCTGTGTAATTCTCTCAATGATCTGGGAAGATGAGTTGCTGTTGAACCTGCTGAGAGTTTAAAATCTCTCATCATTTACAGACAACTTGGTCTCTTACAGATTAAGGAACCTGTATAAATTTCAGTCCCATAAGTGGTAACTGGTTTCGATCTAGGCTTTGTAGCCCTTCCCGTACTAATCTGAGAAAAGCTATTTACTCTTTGCCTCTGAAATGGTTAGTTTCTAGGCTGGACATAATTACTGACAAGTGAGAGAGCAATGGTAAGAGTGAATGAAAAAAATAAAGGTCCACATGGTTTTTCTAACAGAGAGCCCATTTTTCTCAGCACATTCCAAGATGCTGAACAAACTAGATGCAAGACTTCAGAAACTATAGAACAGCAAATTATTGAGTTGGGAAGCAATAATTAGAAAGGAAATGAAGAAAATGGACGTTGGGGGCCTTAATGTGAAATATGACATTGATAAATCAAAGGAAGCCTTAAATTAGAGATGTGGATATTTCAACTGATTATCCAAGATAACTCATATCCTCCATTAACCTCGTCCGTCTTGTTTTGCCTTTGTGAGGACAAAGAATATCTTTGCAAATTGCCAGGCCACAGGATTGTGTCTCCCAAATGTTTATTCAACGAGGGTGGGGAGGAAGGGGAGGAAGCAGTTGAAAAATAATTTGCTTGTTAAGCAGCCCAGAGGAATGTTCTTTCCACTGAGTCTGGTGCATTTATGGGAAAGATAATAAGAGACACTCATGACAGATTTGACAGCAAGGCAAAAGTAAACAGTAAGCCCAGGCTAGCAAAAGTTAGAACCACATACCTTTGCTTTAGATGCTTATCCTCATTGCTGGGTATAAACAAAATAGCACATGACTGTGCATAGACGAGATGTTGCTCAGCTGCCCTCTCCTTCCAGATGATTCCAAAGCCAGTGGTGTTTATTTAGAGGACTTTGTTTTTCTGAGAAAGATGCCACTAGGGACATAAGGCATGTTGGGACATCAGTATAACCATGTGTGTCAAGATTGTTTTGATTCACACGAAGATGTGATGAGACTCAAAAGGAGAGACCACAGAAGTGGGAGTGGAAGGATCTGATTGGATTATTCCTTTTCAGCCACCCCACCCATCCTGGCAGGAGACAGTCCCTCGACAGAAGATGTAACACCCGGTCAAAGCCAAATGTCCTAGTAGTCTGGAAAGTCTGACCATATGACAGGAGTTTGACTAGCAGCCATGAATCATCTCACAGAACACTGTGAGCAGACTGAGGAGGTTGAGAGTGTTTTGTATGGAAGTGTTTCTTGGGCATTTTATAAGTACTTTGGTACTTGCTTTATGGCAGGTGACCCTGTGCAAGTTTCCAGAGAATCCCCTCTGGCCTTTCTCCAAACCTGATACTCTCCCCTGTTCTCCTATCAGCTGTTGCTTTTATGAGCAGAGCTGACCAGTGCCAGGGCTCACAGGAAGTTGGTCTGGTTTTCCTAGTGAGCCAGCAACAATTCACATCTTTGTTTCTGCAGCTCAGGGTGTGTGATAAGCATGAAGGCCTGAGATTTTCCGGGACTAACATTAGTCCCACCAGAATATCTGCCTGTCGGGTGCTGAGACACTTCTCACTTATCCTCAAAATTAACTCCCACTTTCCTTCAACCACTCTCCTTGGCATCCTGCACATGTTCTACACTTTTAATCTTTGAATAACTAGTCATGTAATACCACCTTTCTAAATTGCCCTTTAACTTTCCTCCCTATTATTTAAAATCCCACATATATGGGTCTCACCTGAAGAACCATTCTACCTGTTTTATATATGCTGACAATTATGGAATCTATCATCTTCCTCATTCTAACATGAGCTGAAACTCATGTATTTTATTAGACCCTATTAGTTTTTTCCAATATATTTTCTCTTATCTTCCTTCCTACATGTGTTCTGCCATTTCCAGCCTAAGCCTCAAATATGCTCATCATTTATTATTATTATTATTATTATTATTATTATTATTATTATTTTGTTATTTGCATTGTTTTCATTGGAAGCAATGGGGAAATAAAACAAAAATAATCACACACAATATGGTTTAATTTCCTCTCAGTTAACTTAAAGAAATCAACCCTACCAAATAAGAAGCAGGTGTGGTACCTTGCTATGGGCAGCCGTGACCACCTGTTGGCATATTTGCCCAAAGCAAGGGGAGCCCTGAAGCAAGAAGACACTGGGTACTGTTCCAGGGTGACTGGCTTCCCCCATTATGCTGTTTGGTGCACCTGCCAAACCCACACTTCTCAAATTGGTCTCCCCAGACCAGCAGCATCAGACTCATCTGAGAAGTTGTTCAAAGTGAAAATTCTCAGGTCACTCCTAAAATTCACTGAATTAAAGTCTCTGGGGAGAGGTCAGTAATCTGCATTTTATTGACCCCTCCAGGAGATTCTGAGGCACACTCAAATCTGAGTATTAACCAACTTGTTAAATGCCAATGGAGAAACTATTAGAGAAATTTCCCCTCAGATTTTTCAGCCTAGTTTGAACTTAATACACCCAGCATACAGTTTAACTTTTTCTTGTGTCTTTTCTTCCTTCTCTTTCCTTATTATTATCTTTCTTCTAAATTGAAAAATAAAACTGTACCTATGTATCCCGTACTACATGATGTTTGAAGCACACATACATTGTGGAATGGCTAAATTTAACTAGTGCATTACCTTACACAGTTTTTATTTTTATGGCGAGAACTCTTGACATCTAGCCTCTTTGCATTCTTTTAAGAATATGGTGTAGTCCATGGAATATTACTCAGCATTAAAAGAGAATAAAATCATGGCATTTGCAGGTAAATGCAATGGATTTGGAGAATATAATGCTAAGTGAAGTTATCCAATTTCCTGACAAAACAAATGCCGAAGTTAAGTTTTCTTTGATGTAAGGAGGCTGATTCATAATAAGAATGAGGATGGGGGACCATGGGAGGAATAGATGAACTTTAGATAGGGCAAAGGTGGGGGGAGGAGAGGGTGCAGGGAGTAGGTGAGATGGTGGAATGAGATGGACATCATTACTCTAAGTACATGTATGAAGACACGAATGGTGTGACTCTAATTTTTGTATAACCAAAGACATGGAAAATTGTGCTCTATATGTATACTGTGAACTGAAATTTATTCTGCTTTCATTTATAACAAATTATAATAAATAAAATAAGAATATGGTGTATTGTCATTAATCATAGTCATCATACTATACAATGGGCCTCTTGAACTTATCTCCAATCTAAGTGTAATTATGTATCTCTTGCCCCACATTTCCCCGTCTCCCCAACCACACCAACATCTGCTAATCACCATTCTACTCTCTACTTCTATGAGGTCAGTGTTTTTAGATTCTACATAGGAGTGATATCAAGCAGTGTTTGTCTTTCTGTGCTTAACTTATTTCACTTAACATAATGTACTCCAGGTTCCTTAATGTTGTAATAAATGACAAGATTTTCTCTTTCTTTATGATTGAATAATACTGCACCATGTATACACATTATATTTCCTTACCCATTTATTTATTGATGGACACTCAGGTTGATTGCATATCTTGGCTGTTGTGAATAGTACTGCAATAAACAATGGAGTGCACATAGCTTTTTCACGTATGATTTCATTATCTTTGGATATATACTAGCTACTGAGACTGCTGCATCATAAGGTAGTTCTAGTTTTAATAATTTGAAGAAACTTCATACCATTTTACATAATGGCTACAGTAATTTACAGCTGTGTGTTAGGTTTCCCTTTACTTCACACCCTCAATAACACATTTGATTGTCTTTTTGATAGTAGCCATTCTAACTGAAGTGGAGGTGATATCTTATTGTGATTTTGATTTTATTTCTCTGAAAATTAGTGATGTTGGGTAGACAAGGGTTGATAGATATAGACATACATCTATAACTGTATATATTCTATACCTATATCTATGTTATATGTAATCTATAGGTATTATATATTTATACACCTTGTATATCTTCTTTTGAGAAATATCTAATCAAGTCTTTTGCCCATTGCTTACATTATTTCTTGCTTGTTTGAGTTCCTTAAATATTTGGGGCATTAATCCCCTCTTAGATGTATGGTTTGCAAATATTTTCTCTCAATCTATAAATTTTTTCTTCATTCTGTTGATTGTTTCTTTGGCTGTGCAGAAAACTTTGTAGTCTGATATATCCAATTGTCTATTTTGTCCTTTTGTTTCCTATATTATTAAAGTTGTATTTTTGAAAAATATAATTTCCTAGACCAATATCATGGAGATTTCCCCTATGAATTCTTCTAACAGATTCATAATTTGGGGTCTTACATTTAAATCATTAATACATTTGCATTCAAAATTGTTTTAGTAGACTTTTGTGTGTGGTGAGTTATAAGGTTCTAATTACATTCTTGCACATATGAAAACCCGATTTTCCAACACTAATTATTGAAGCGATTGTCCTTTCCCCATTGAGTATTCTTGGCATTTTGTTGAAATTTCAATTGACTGTAAATGTATGAATTTAGTTCTGGGCTTTTTATTCTATTCCATAGGTCTGTGCTTCTGTTTTTAATGCCATACCACTCTGTTTTAATTACTATAGCTTTGTCGTATATTTTGAGATCAGAGAGAGTGATGTTTCTAGCTTTGTTCTTTTTTGCTCAAAACTGCTTTGGGACTTTTATTGTTCCATATGAATTGTCAGAATTTCAAAATATTTCTGTGAATAATTAATTGGCATTTTAATAGGAATTGCATTGAATCTATGATTAATTTGGGCAGTATTTTTTGACCATATTTGTTCTTCCAGTCCAGAAGTATGTAGTATTTTTTCATTTATTTGTGTCTTCTTCAGATTCCTTCAATGTTTCATAGTTTCTATTGTAGAGAGAACTTTCAACTCCTTTAAATTTATTTTTAAATATGTTACTTTTTGTGCAAATTGTAAATTAAATTGTTTTCTTTTTTCATATAGTTTACTATGAATACATAGAAATGTTACTGATTTTGTATGTTGTTTTTGTATCCTGCAAATTTATTAAATTAGCATATTAAACCTAACAGTATTGAGGTGGAGTATTTTGAATTTTTTTAACAGGATTGTGTCATCTACAGAGCTAATTTAACTTATTTCTTTACAATTTTATTTTTATTTCTTTTGCTTGCTTAATTGCCTTGGTAGGACTTCCAGTACTTTGTTGAAGAGAAATGGCAAAAGGTGTCATCTATGTCTTTTTACAGAATTCATAGGAAAACTTTCAGCTTTTCTCTATTTAATGGTCTATTAGCCATAGGTTTGTAATGTGTGATATTTATTGCGCTGAGATATGTTTCTTCTATACCTAATTTGTTGAGAGTTTTTATTATTAAAGAATCTTCGATTTGGTCAAAAGTTTTTCCTGAATCTTTTGAAATAATCACATGGTTTTGGTCCTTAATTCTATTAATGACATTTATTAATTGATCTGTTTTTGCATTACTCGGGTAAATGCCACTTCATCACAATGAATGATCTTTATAATGTAAAGTCAAATTAATTCTGCTTCCATTGTTTTAACTATGTTTTCATCTATATTCACCAAAGATATTTCCTGTAGTTTTATTTTTTAATTAATTTATTTATTTTAATTAGGTATATATGATAGCATAATGCATTTTGATTCATTGTACATGATTGCAGCACAATTTTTCATTTCTCTGATTGTACATGATGTAGTGTTGCACCATATGTGCAGTCATCCATGTACCTAAGGTAATAATATCCATCACATTCCATCATCTTTCCTGCCCCCACACTCACACCCTTCCCTCCCCCTCCTTTGCTCAATTAAAGTTCCTCCATTTTCCCCATACCCTCCCCCATTATGGATCAGCATCCACTTATCAGAGACAACATTCAGCCTTTGGTTTTTGGGGATTGACTTACTTCACTTAGCATGATATTCTCCAACTCCATCCATTTACCTGCAAATGCCGTAATTTTAATGC